CCAAACCAGGATTATATGAAATGCTGAAGGGTCTTATTTAAGAAGAGGAAGAAGAAAAAGGTAAAGATAAAAATCATGAACAACAAAGGGTCAACAAATACGTATCTATCAACAAGTGAATCTAAAAATCAAGTGAATAAAAAATCTGAAGAACAGAATGGACTAATCAATATAACAGAATCAGGGAATAGGAAGAAAATGGACTGACAATTCTCAGGGAGAAGGGGGTGTTAGAGGTGCGGGAAGAGATTGAACAAAAATCTTATACCTATAATGAAGACAGTGGCGGGGGGTAAGGGCATGGGTGGGGTGGAGAATCAAGTGAAGGGGAGCTATGGGGAGAAAAAAAGAGGAACACCTGAACAATAAAGATTTATTTTTAAAATAGTAATATTAAAAAAGAAGGATCTCTTACCCATTGAGACAGCATGGGGGGACCTAGAGAGTACTATGCTAAGTGAAATAAGCCAGTCAGAGAGACAAGTATCACATGATCTCAGACTTATGTGGAATATAATTAACAAAATAAACTGATGAACAGGTAGATCCAGAGACATGAAAGAATCGAACCAAGTGCAGAATCTCTGAGGGAAGGTGGGGGAGGGTGTGTAAGTGGGAGGTAATCAACCAAAGACCTTGTATGCATATATGCATGCCCCATGGACACAGACAATAGGGTGCTGAAGGCCTGCAGTGGGGAGCAGGGGCAGAACGGAGGGAGTCAATTTGGGGAAAAGGACATATATGTAATACTTTCAACAATAAAGATTTTTTTTTATAAATTTTTAAAAATACTTTTTATTTTAAAAACATGGTGATATAATCTCTGCTGTGCCTTTAGGTCAATATCTACTGCTAGTAAATTTTTTTTAAAAAGGGGAGAATCCAAGATGGCTGCACAGGTAAACACCTAGTGGCAGCCGCACACAACAATTTCAATAAAATACAACTAAAATATAAAATGGACATTACCCAGAACTACAGGAAAGTCAACTGACTAAAAATTCTACAACGAGAAGCAAGAAGAAAACCAGAAGGAAGAGCGGAGGAGCTGTAAAAACCTGAGGTACGGAGACACGCGACGCGCGCAGAGAGGACAGAGCCAGAGAGGAAGGGCAGGGAGGCTGAGTGCCTGGCGTTCCCTAGCAGGAAGGAGATAAAAGCTCCAACTGTGCTGGGCTCCAGTTCCAACTGCTCTAAACCCCAGTTCTAGGCCAGATCCCGGGGACCCAGGCTCATCCATAGGGAGCTGGGCTGTAAGGTGGAACCCCGGGGGAGCGGCGAAAGGAGGTCCCGGAGGAGCGCACAGTGTGTGCAGAGAAGGGTCGGTTGGCTGTGCCGCGGGATTGCCTTAACAGGAAGGAGACAAAAGCTCCGGACTGCTCTGAACACCACCTCCAACTCCACTTCCAACTGAACTGAACCCCAGTTCCGGGCTCATTGGGGAGAGCCTAGACCAGGTGTCGGCAACCTACGGCTCCAGAGCTGCATGCGGCTCTTTTGAAGCTTTACCGCGGCTCCAACAACTTGCAAGCCTGTGTGAAAATGAAGGTAACGTCTTACAGCCCTGATGTGCTGACACTGTGCACTGAGGTTCAGGAGCAAAAATCCCATTAACCAGGTAAATTAAATATTTTAAATACCTATTAATTTGCAAAAATATATTTTACATTGTTAAGTGAAAAAGTCCTTTTTTTTTCTTCAGATTGACAGCTAACTGCATGATCCGGTATACAGCATTAAGGTAAGAAACAATATATGCAGTGTTATATTTGTTTTAAATGTCGCAATGGTTTTGTGGCTCCCAGGTGTTTTTTTCCTTCGGAAACGGGTCCAAGTGGCTCTTTATGTCTTAAAGGTTGCAGACCCCTGGACTAGATGGTTTGGTAGCAGGCGAAAATTTAGGGCACCTTTCTCTCAGAGGTGCTTGCAGTGAGTACTGAAGGACCCTGGGAATTACTGAGACTCAGGAACCGCATAGGGCGGGGCTGACGGAAGCCAAGGCTGTAGGCTCCACCCTGAAACCCCGCCCCATCAGGGAAGCTGCGAACATGCCGAGACAACGAAATAGATCACAAACGAAAGAAATGGACAAAAAGCAACTGGATATAGAGTTCAAATCGATGCTTATAAGGTTTTTCAAGAATTTCCAAGAAAAGGACAATAAGACCTATGAGGATATGAAAAGGAATCAACTAGAATTAATAAAGAATCAACAAGAAATGATAAGGGATCAACAAGAAATAAAGAATACATTGTCTGAAATAAAAAACAGAATGGAAGTCCTAAAAACAGAATGGAAGATCGCAAGAATCAAGTCAAAGATTTGGAACATAAAGAGCCAGAAGACACTTCTCCGCAGAAGCAAGAAGGCAAGAGAATCCAGAAAATTGAAGATAATGTAAGAAACCTCTGGGACAACTTCAAGCGAACCAACATCAGAATTATGGGGGTCCCAGAAGATGAGAGAAAGCAAGATATCCAAAACATACTGAAAGAAATAGTGACAGAAAACTTCCCCCACCTGGTGAAAGAATTAGACTTACAAGTCCAGGAAGTGCACAAAACCCCAAACAAAAGGAATCCAAAGAGGACCACACCAAAACAAATCATAATTAAAATTCCAAGAGCAAAAGACAAAGAGAGAATATTAAAAGCAGCAAGAGCAAAGCAGGTAGTTACCTATAAAGGAGCACCTATACGATTGTCAGCTGACTTCTCAACAGAAACCATGCAGGCCAGACAGGAATGGCAAGAAATATTCAAGGTGATGAATAGCAAGAACCTACAGCCAAAGATAATCTACCCAGCAAAGCTATCACTCAGAATTGAAGGCCAGATAAAGAGCTTCACTAATTAAAAAAAAAAAGCTAAAGGAGTTCATCACCACCAAACCAGAATTATATGAATTGCTGAAGGGGGTTCTTTCAGAAGAGAAAGTAAATAAAAATTATGAACAACAAATATGTAACTATCAACAAGTGAATCTAAAAACCAAGGAAATTAAAAAGAAAATCTGATGAACAATATTAACTGTTGAATATAATAGAATCAGAGGTATGGAAGAGGAGTGAACTGACGATTCTTGGGGAAAAGGGGAGAGGGGGATGTGGGAAGAGACTGAACATAAACTGTGCACCTATGGATGAGGACAATGGGGGGTGGGGAAACGGCAGAGGGTAGGATGGGAACCTGGTGGAAGAGAGAAATGGAGGAGGGGGAAAAAAGAACATTTGTAATAATATGAACAATAAAAATTTATGTATAATAAAAAAAAAAATTTTTAATTTTTTTCTTCTAACAATGTCATTAATGGACATGATAGTACTAAAACAGATAACAGCCTGAAAATCAGTAACTTTGAAATATAAATCACATGTGGTAAATTCTATAAGAAAAGCCAAACAATTACCACTTTAAGCTGAGATGATAATTTGGAAAAGAACAGAAAATATGAGATATACTGCCAGAAAATAAAAGATAATATTAAAGAAATAATAGACTGACATCCTCAAAGAACCTGCTCCCACCACTTAAAAAGCATTCATACAGCCGAAACCGGTTTGGCTCAATGGATAGAGCGTCGGCTTGAGGACTGAAGGGTCCCGGGTTCGATTCCGGTCAAGGGCATGTACCTTGGTTGCAGGCATATCTCCAGTGGGAAGTGTGCAAGAGGCAGCTGATCGATGACTCTCTCATCGATGTTTCTAACTCTATCTCCCTTCCTCTCTGTACAAAATCAATAAAATATATTTAAAAAAAAAAAAAGCATTCATACAGAAAAATAAGACTTGAATTATATAAACTTTGAAGTATGCAAAGTTTTTAGAATATTTCTCCCATAAAGCAAAGCAACCTGGTTTGTGCAAATTCTCAGAAAATGTTGGTTAATTTCATTAAAAAATGATTCCTCTATTTCTAGTATTCCATCTCTCAAATTAAATATGACTTTTGACATGTTCATAATAATCTTTGGAGAAACTAAGTCTATAAATTGAGTTAATAGTTATTCTGAGGCTCAAAGCATAATCACAGCATATTTGTCATGACAATTTATCCCTTGTATGGTAGAGGGTTAGGAGGTATATAAACTTCTATGGAGTCACCAATGTATTTTTATATTTCCTAAAGTTAGAGTAGAGGAGAATAAGACCATGTACTCTGACATAAATGTAAGAATTCTAATTATCCTTCTAATCTGTGTGGTCTCTTGCCAAAACCGGTTTGGCTCAGTGGATAGAGCATCGGTCTGCGGACTGAAAGGTCCCGGGTTCGATTCCGGTCAAGGGCATGTACCTTGGTTGCAGGCACATCCCCAGTAGGGGGTGTGCAAGAGGCAGCTGATTGATGATTCTCTCTCATCGATGTTTCTAGCTCTCTGTCCCTCTCTCTTCCTCTCTGTAGAAAATCAATAAAATATATTTAAAATAATAATAATAATAATAATAATTTGTGTGGTCTCCCAATAATTGTAAATTTTACCTTGCTGTTATCATTTTTTATTCATTTGCTATTCTAAAAAAGAAAACTCAATACCCTTTTGTCAAACAACAACTTTCTAATAATTTACTGATGTCCAACCCTCATATGTTTTAACTTCCTTCTGATAATAATCACAATCAGAATCCCCCATATATATAAGTCCAGTATATTCACATTTAGTTAATACTATGACTATAGAACCCCAATTGATTAATGGAGCATCTTTTTCACTACAGATGACAAATGATAAATCAAGCATTATAATAAGTCTATATGTAACACATGCACTATCAGCTAAAGCTTATCAAGATGTTCCAAATGAACAAATACAAGGAGTTAAGGTAACTTATAATTACAGAAAGATAGAGCTTGTAAGGAAGCTTGGAGGCCATTGAATCCAATCCTTGTATTTTAAAGTTTGTTTTAATTGAGATCCAAAGGGAACAAATCCATCACCCATTACCACACTATTTACACATAGTATAAGCCCATTCTAGACACATACACATGTATCTTACCTTTCTGATGATGTCTTAGAAGTGACAGGACGCCCACGAACACCTTTTTTACTTTTACAGTCTAGAGAAAGGACGTTGTTTCTTCGGCTTCTTTCCCACTATGGAAAAAAAAAAAAAATGGGGTTTAGTAATAAACATAGCAATCCTATATAATAAAACCCTAAAATGCACATCGACCCAACAGCTGAACAACCAGTAGCTATGATGTGCACTGACCACCAGGGCACAGATGCTCAATGTAGGAGCTGCCCCCTGGTAGTCAGTGTGCTCCCACAGGGGGAGCACTGCTCAGCCAGAAGCTGGGCTCATGGCTGGCAAGTGCATTGGCTGTGGCAGGAGACTCTCCAGCCTATCCTACAGGCAGACAGTAAGGATTGAGGGGCGCTGAAACCGGTTTGGCTCACTGGTAGAGCATCGGTCTGTAGACTGAAGGATCCCAGGTTCGATTCCAATCAAGGGCATGTACATTGGTTGCGGGGATGTGCAGGAGGCAGCTGGTGGATGTTTCTCTCTCATTGATGTTTCTAGCTCTCTGTCCCTCTCTCCTCCTCTCTGTAAAAAATCAATAAAAAAATTTTTTTAAAGGATTGAGGGGTCCCAGACTGCAAGGGGGCGCAGGGTGGGCTGAGTGATCCTCCTCCTCCAGTGCATGAATTCATGCACTGGGTCTCTAGTATGATAATAAAAAGTCACTTAAATGTTTGTTTTATTTAGAAGTTCAAAATAAAGTCAAATTCATAGCTGTTCACAAAGAGATGAAAATGCAATCTATAAAACAATTGGCTCTTTTGCTAGTAGAGAAATATAAATCCACCAAAAAGTAGTAGAAATAAATGTTAACAAGTTCAAGGTAGCTGTAGTTAGAAAATCAACATTTTGAAATTCTAGAGCTTATATAACTATGAAAATTTCTGCCTCTGTCTAAAGGAAATAATAAAAATTATTACATGGAAAGTTAAATAGTGCCTATGATTCTGAATTACCTGAGATTATAACATTTGGAAGGGATTAAAATTGTTTTCCTATGAATTGCTGCATGGAAATTTTTAAGGAAGAATTGATATCTTATTGACAGAAGTAGGGTGTTTTTGGGTTTTTTTTTAAGAGAATTATTTTATTTTAATTTTTTAATTGATTTCAGAGATGAAGGGAGAGGAAAAGATAGAAACATCAATGATGAGAATCAATGGTCGGCTGACTCCTGCATTACCCACCCTGGGGATCAAGCCTGCAACCCACGCATGGAATTGAACTGTAACCTCCAGGTTCAAAGGCTGATGCTCAACTATAGAGCCACTCTGACTTGGCCCGAGTTTAGATTTAATCTGACCATAAATAAAAGTTGGAAATGATTTATTTAAGCTGAAACTGGTTTGGCTCAGTGGATAGAGCATTGGTCTGTGGACTGAAAGGTCCTAGGTTTGATTCCAGTCAAGGGCATGTACCTTGGTTGCGGGCACATCCCCGGTGGGGGGGGTGCAAGAGGCAGCTGGTCGATGTTTCTTTCTAATCGATGTTTCTAGTTCTCCATCTCTCTCCCTTCCTCTCTGTGGAAAATCAATAAAATATATTTTTTAAATGACTTATTTAATATACAGTGTGAATCTAGACAAATTATTTATCTTATTTCTATGCATTAGTCTCCTGTTTGAAAGCAAATGAATAGTAGCTTATCTCAAAATGTTGCAAAATGATTATATATATAGTAAATTTAAAACACTCTCTACCCTGAAGAGATATATTTGTACAGCCATATTTGTAACAGCATTGTTCACAACAGCTAAAAAGTGGAAGCGAATCAACTATGTCCCATCAATGGATGAATTGATAATCAAAATGTAGCCTACACATACAATGAAATATTATTTGCCATTGAAAAGAAAGGAAATTCTGACATGTTACAACATGGATGAAACTTAATGACTATAAAATAATAGAAAAAAAAACATTTTGGTCTCTGCCCCCAGCTCTTGGCATAGAGCTTCTAAAGACCCTTGAAAATTGCCTAAGCAATAAGAGAACAAAGTGCATAGTACACGTCAGCAACAACAAAACTTTTTTTATTTTCCAAAAATACAATGTATATACACCGTATTTTCCGGCGTATAAGACGATCAGGTGTATAAGACGACCCCCTAATTTTACAGTTAAAACATAGGTTTAGGCCTATATTCACTGTATTAAGACTACCCCCCACTTCCGAGGCAACACCAGTTCTTTTTTTAATAGACCGCCTCTCTGACTCTGGCCAATCTGAGCAGGCTTTTTACTAGAACACATGTGTAGCTTCGGGTACAGAACATGTATACTGTGTTCTAGTAAAAAGCCTGCTCAGATTGGCCAGAGTCAGAGAGATGGTCTATTAAAAAAAGAACTGGTGTTGCCTCGGAAGTGGGGGGTAGTCTTATACAGCGAATATAGGCCTAAACCTATATTTTAACTGTAAAATTAGGGGTCGTCTTATATGCTGGAAAATACAGTAATTTTGTATTCCACAATAAATTCAATATACTACAACATAAAATAAAATATATAGCCGAAATCGGTTTGGCTCAGCGGTAGAGTCTGCGGACTGAAAGGTCCCAGATTCGATTCCGGTCAAGGGCATGTACGTTGGTTGCGGGCACATCCCTAGTAGCGGGTGTGCAAGAGGCAGCTGATCAATGTTTCTCTCTCATTGACGTTTCTAGCTCTCTATCTCTCCCTGCCGCTCTGTGAAAAATCAATAAAATATATTAATAATAACAATAATAAAATATATATATATATATATAAATGCAGAGAGACAAAATTTTCTTAAAAATAATAGTTTTTGCCCAGTTGAAGTGGCTCAATTTGTTTAGCATAGTCCTTCACACCAAAAGGTTGCAGTTCAATTCCAAATCAGGGCATATACCTGGGTTGCAGGTTCAATCCCCATTCAGGGCATGTACAGAGGCAACCAATCAATGTTTCTCTCTTACACTGATGTTTCTTTCTTTCTCTCTCTCTCTCTCTCACTCTTCCCCTTTCTAAGTATGTCCTAGGGTAGGAATTTAAAAGATAATAATAATTTTTATCTTCCTATTAAATTGACAACAATCTTACTGTATGTTAACACCCCATGCTAGTCAGTTTGTAGAAAATAGGAACTCTCATTGGTGGCAATATAAATTAGTGTAAATTGTCTGTGTGACAATTTTGCAATTTATTAAAGTTTAATATAAAAATTCCTTAGGTCCAGTAATCCCACTTAAAAATGGTTCCCTATATATGAAAAATGATGTTCAATGCAACATTGTCTCTATTAATGAAACTGAAAAAAACAAAACAAAAAAAAACATCAAGTGGGGGGTGGTGCAGGAGGCAGCCAATCCATTTCTTTCTCTCATCGATGTTTCTATCTATTCTCTCTCTCTAAAATCAATTTTTAAAAAATATCTTTTGGAAAAACAACTGTGTTACCCTTTAAGATAAACCCTCTCAAATCTATAAAATGAGAATAAAAGAGCGTCTGATTCTAATAAGCTTAATGTTCTCATATATTTAAAATAATTTCTTTTACAATATTTGCATCTGATGAATAAAAATAATGCATAATAAGGTGTATTTATATTTAAACGAAAGACCTTAACCTCAAAGCATCAGTTCAACATATACCTGAAATAAACTAATTTAAAACCTACAAATAAATAACAAAAGGACATATAAGAAAATAAAAAATTCAGTTTTCCTAAAATGTTTTAAAGACACCAATAACACTATATACTTAAAAGAACTAAGTTTTTATTTACCCCCTGCAAAGGGAGATCCCACCGTTCTGAGCTTCTGAGTTTGGACAGTGGTGATTTCACACGAACATCTTCTGGTTTTGCATCTAATATCTTTGTTATCTGAAACCAGAATGAGAAAATAATCAATTTAATTAAAATATAAATAAAAGCTGGATTAGCCGGGACCGGTTTGGCTCAATGGATAAGCGTCGGCCTGGGGACTGAAGGGTCCCAGGTTCAATTCCGGTCAAGGGCATGTTCCTTGGTAGCGGGCATATCCCCAGTGGGGGGTGTGCAAGAGGCAGCTGATCGATGACTCTCTCTCATCGATGTTTCTAACTCTCTATCTCTCTCCCTTCCTCTCTGTACAAAATCAATAAATTATTTTTTTTTTTTTTTAAAAGCTGGCCGAAACCGGTTTGGCTCAGTGATAGAGCGTCGGTCTGCAGACTGAAAGGTCCCGGGTTTGATTCCAGTCAAGGGCATGTACATTGGTTGCGGGCACATCCCTGGTAGGGGGTGTGCAAGAGGCAGCTGGTCGATGTTTCTTTCTCATCGACGTTTCTAGCTCTCTCTCTCTCTCCCTTTCTCTCTGTAAAAAAATCAATAAAATATATTTAAAAAAAAAAAAGCTGGATTAGCTAACAGAACCATTATCCTGCATTAATATTCTGCTATTAGTTGTAAAGAGTTTTAAACTAGTCCTTAATTTATATGCAGTTAAATATAATTTTATTTTTAAAAACCTCTCATTCAATATAAAGGTCAATAAATGAAGTATCATAATAGCTCCATAAATGTTCTCTTACCTATAGTCTCTTCCCCTTCTAATCTTCCAAAGGCTATCCTCATAGTTCTCTAATACACCAACCCAAGTATGGCTACAATACTTAAACTATAATAATGAAACCCGTTATTTATAAATAAAATTCTTAACAATCTAGGCTTTCACATCACTCACACATAAGCACAACCATCTTCAAGCATATCTCAAGAACTTTGTATGAACTACTTCCTCAATCTAGAATAGCCTTTCCTCTGTTTCTCCCTTGTGAAATACTTCAGATTCTGCTCAAATTATTCTTTTATCCATATAAGCATCACTCATATTTATACATTTATTGGTTGCTTCTTGTGTGTACCCTGACTAGGCACATATAAGAAACAATACACCAGGAAGAGGTCCAAGATGGCGGCATAGATAAACATCTAAACTGCTGCCTTGCACAACAATTTCAAAACTACAACTAAAAGACAAAAACGTCTATCACCCAGAATCATGGGAAAGCTGGTTGAGTGGAAGCTCCACAACTAGACTGAAAGAGAAAAGAACATTCAGGGCACAAGCACTGAAAAACAGGTACAGGGACACGCGCGTGATACAGGCTGGCAGCAGGTCCTGGCTGGCAACGGGTGTTGCTTTCTTCAACCCAAAGAAAGACAAGCTCCTAATCTCTCTGAAATCCAGTTTCTGGGAGAAGCTGAACTGTCTTGCCATCAGGTCAGAAAGTGAGGGTGGCCGGCACCGGTTTGGCTCAGTGGATAGAGCGTCGGCCTGCGGACTGAAAGGTCCCAGATTCGATTCCGGTCAAGGGCATGTACCTTGGTTGCGGGCACATCCCCGGTAGGGGGTGTGCAAGAGGCAGCTGGTCGATGATTCTCTCTCAACGACGTTTCTAACTCTCTATCCCTCTCTCTTCCTCTCTGTGAAAAATCAATAAAATATATATTTAAAAAAAAAAAAAAAAAAGAAAAGAAAGTGAGGGTGGCTTGCTAGCAGAGCTGGGCGCAAGAATAATTGTTTGCTGAGTTGGGGCACGACACATGGGGACGCTGTCAGAGAGGCAGAGACGGCTGACTGGCAGCCATCGCTGTTAGCCACGCCCTAGTCTAGAGACCCCCCCTAAGACTCCACCCTGAGACTCTGCCCCGCACAATCTACAAATACACCCAAGCTCCAAGCAGCGGTTTTTGCGTATGAATGGCCTTCTCTATTGCAGTTCACAGGAAACTCGCAACCTGGTGCAAACTGCTCCAAAGCGTCCAAGCTCCAAGCAGGGAGGAGAGGACTGTGGTTCTCACTGTAGCTCCTGCAGGGTGGCCTCAGACAGTAGCTGACCTACACTCCATTGGAGATCCAGAAGCCAGTGTACCTAGTGGTCAGTGTGAGGCACCAGATTTCAACTCCTCACATTCATAAGTGACATATTCAGGAGGCAGACTCAGTGAGCACCAAAGCCCCACTAAAACAAGGCCTACACCATATGCATGTCTCCAGCACAGCAGTTCTTCCATTATAGACACAGTGGGTCCTCACAGTCAATTCCTCCCAGTGCACCAACAGCAATCAAGGCTTAACTAAACCAAGACTTTGCACTCAGCCCACAAAGGGGTGTATCAAGAGCAACCACCTCGGGTGATTGGGGAAGCTGAGCTACTGGCCCCTATAGGTCACCTACCACACAAAGCCACTCCATCAACACAGGGAGGAAGCCAAGATGCAGAGACACAAAAGCATGTCACGAATGGGAGAGATGGAAGAAAGTAAACTACTGGATGACACAGACTTCAGAACCACATTTATAAGGTTACTCAAGAATCTTTTAAAAACCGCTGAGAAACTTGAAGAGACCTTCAAGGACCTTAATGAGAATGCCAAAAAAAAAAAAAAAAAATGGGAAAGGACCAGTCAGAAATTAAGCATATACTGTCAGAAATAAAGAACATACAGAAATTCAACTGTAGATCAACATACCCCAAAAATCAAACCAAAGATCTGGAATATGAGGAAACAAAAAACATCCAATCAGAGAGGCAGTAAGAAAGAATAATCCAAAGGTGTGAGGATAATATAAGGAGCCTCTGGGAGGGCTTTCAATATACCAACATCCAGATTTTGGGTGTGTCAGAAAGAGAGAGACAGCAGGATATTGAAGGCCTATTGAAAGAAATAATGACAGAAAACTTTCCCTACTTAGTGAAAGAAATAGACTTACAAGTTCAGGAAGCACACAGAATCCCAAACAAAAGGAATCCAAAGAGGACCACACCAAGACACATCATAATTAAAATGCCAAGGGCAAAAAACAAAAAGAGAATGTTACAAGCAGCAAGAGAAAAACAGTTAGTTACCTACAAGGGAGTGCCCATATGACTGTCAGCTGATTTCTCAACAGAAACTATGCAGGCCAGAAGGGAGTGGCAAGAAATATTCAAAGTGATGAATAGCGAGGACCTACAACCAAGATTACTCTACCCACCAAAGTTATCATTCAGCATTGAAGGGCAAATAAAGAGCTTCTCAGATAAAAAAAAAAAAAAAAAAAAAAAAAAAAAAAAGCTAAAGGAGTTCACCACCACCAAACCAGAATTATATGAAATGCTGAAAGGTATTCTTTAAGAAGAGGAAGAAGAAGAAAAAAGTAAAGATAAAAATTATGATCAGCTGAAAATGGTTTGGCTCAGTGGTAGAGCGTCGGTCTGCAGACTGAAAGATCCCGGGTTCGATTCCGGTCAAGGGCATGTACCTTGGTTGCGGGCACATCCCCAGTAGGGGATGTGCAAGAGGCAGCTGGTCGATGTTACTCTCTCATCGACATTTCTGGCTCTCTCTCTCCCTTCCTCTCTGTAAAAAATCAATAAAATATATATATTTTTAATTATGATCACAGAATCCAAGATGGTTGCACAGGTAAACACCTAGCCGCAGCCGCACACGATTTCAATAAAATACAACTAAAATATAAAATGGACATTACCCAGAACTACAGGAAAGTCAACTGACTAAAAATTCTACAACGAGAAGCAAGGAGAAAACCAGAAGGAAGCGCGGAGGAGCTGTAAAAGCCTAAGGTACAGAGACACGCGGCACGCGCAGAGAGGACAGAGCCGGAGAGGAAGGGCAGGGCAGCTGAGTGCCTGGCTGGCGTTCCCTAGTGGGAAGGAAATAAAAGCTCCAACTGTGCTGAGCCCCAGTTCCGACTGCTCTGAACCCCAGTTCTAGGCCAGACCCCGGGGACCCAGGCTCATCCATAGGGAGCTGGGCTGTAAGGCAGAACCCCGGGGGAGTGGCGAAAGGAGGTCCCAGAGGAGAGTACATTGTGCACAGAGAAGGGATGGTTGGCTGTGCCATGGGATTGCCCTGGCGGGAAGGAGACAAAAGCTCCGGACTGCTCTGAACGCCACCTCCAACTCCACTTCCAACTGAACTGAACCCCAGTTCCGGGCTCATTGGGGGAGAGACTAGACTGTTTGGTAGCAGGCGAAAATTGAAGGCCCCTTTCTCTCAGCGGTGCTTGCAGTGAGTACTGAAGGACCCTGGGAATTACTGAGACTCAGGAACCGCATGGGGGGGCTGACGGAAGCCAAGGCTGTAGGCTCCACCCTGAAACCCCGCCCCATCAGGGAAGCTGCGAAAATGCCGAGACAACGAAATAGATCACAAACGAAAGAAATGGACAAAAAAAGCAACTGGATATAGAGTTCAAATCGATGCTTATAAGGTTTTTCAAGAATTTCCAAGAAAAGGTCAATAAGACCTATGAGGATATGAAAAGGGATCAACTAGAATTAATAAAGAATCAACAAGAAATGATAAGGGATCAACAAGAAATAAAGAATACATTGTCTGAAATAAAAAATATTATAGAGTCCTAAAAACAGAATGGAAGATCGCAAGAATCAAGTCAAAGATTTGGAACATAAAGAGCCAGAAGACACTTCTCCGCAGAAGCAAGAAGGCAAGAGAATCCAGCAAATTGAAGATAATGTAAGAAACCTCTGGGGCAACTTCAAGCGAACCAACATCAGAATTATGGGGGTCCCAGAAGATGAGAGAGAGCAAGATATCCAAAACATACTGAAAGAAATAGTGACAGAAAACTTCCCCCACTTGGTGAAAGAATTAGACTTACAAGTCCAGGAAACGCACAGAACTCCAAACAAAAGGAATCCAAAGAGGACCACACCAAGACAAATCATAATTAAAATTCCAAGAGCAAAAGACAAAGAGAGAATATTAAAAGCAGCAAGAGCAAAGCAGGTAGTTACCTACAAAGGAGCACCTATACAATTGTCAGCTGATTTCTCAACAGAAACCATGCAGGCCATACAGGAATGGC